TATACTCCTCCTCATGGATTGGTCTCATCTCCCCACTTACGGCAATGCATGACTCCCATCCCATATGTTCTTCTAGGTCTGAAAAATGGTTTCCATAGAGCCACTCGTGCCTAATTTTTTTATTAGTAAATGATAGTTTGACGTGCATAAAGTCTAACCCCTGGCTTGAAAATTTTCATTTCACGGCAGCAATAATATAAGTAACAATATTATTTTTACCTCCAAGTTATCCAACCTAGCTAGGAAGGCATTCGATCATTATTAAGCGTGTATAATATATCAATTATCAATTCATGATGATTCGTTGGTGTTTTCATGCATGTGGATCAAATCAAATGCATGACATAAATGGGCCCCTCTATAAATTCTCAAAATAATACTAGAGACAATGACTATGTAGCAAACGAACTAGAAACCAAAAGAGTAGCTTCATTGCTAGAGCCAAATTAGAGGAAAGTAGGAAACCCACGGCGTAAAGCCTATTACCAAGACCTTTTCAGCTGACCTCTTCTCTTACTCATAGATTCTCAATTGCCCTTCATTCATCTCCTAATATTACAAATTAAACTGGCCAAAGGGGGAAGGGAGGAGGGGTTCAAACTCTGACTCCGGGTGTAGTGGTAAATACTGCATGCGCTCTCATATGATGTCACTGGAGCTACAAGCCCGCATCGTACTAAATATTAAATTTATTCTCTCTCAAACAACATTTGATCACATGATCTCATTTATATTTATAGCTCTGGTTTAGTTTGGTAGGCTGATCAGACTCTCTCTCTCTCTCTCTCTCTCTTGGTGTGTGTGTGGTGGGCTAGCTTTGTGGATGGAACAAGCTCAGTGTTTGGTGTGGCAAATTAGCAGGAAAGATCAGATCTTCAAGTGCTCGTTGTCATCACCATCATCAATGAACTCAACAACATGGGAAGAGAGGGCTTTCGCTGCAGATGCAGCTGGGCATGGTCCTCTTGGGGGTTGTATATGGCCTCCAAGATCTTATTCCTGCAGCTTTTGTATGAGAGAATTCAGTGCTAAGTATTCAGGAAAATAGAAGAGAGAGAGGAGAGAGAGAGAGCTTTGAGAAATCTGAAGATGATGAGAATCAAATCTGTTTTTCTCATTACCACTATACACGTACAGTAGAGCCTTTATACTTAGGCTTTGCTTAATGGTTAAGCATAGCTAACAACCCCTAACAACCTTCACGTGTTTAACATAACTAATTACAGACACGTGTCACACTAATTCTAATCATTAGCTAAACAGCCCCCCTCAATCTCAGAGTAGGGACCTAATCTGAGATTGGTACAATGCTTAGAGAAAACTGGACCATGAAGCCCCTTAGTCAGGACATCAGCAACTTGCTCATCAGTTGGTATATACTGAACTAAGAAATCCCTGCGCTGCACACGCTCCCTGATGAAATGGAAATCAGTGTCGAGGTGTTTGATACGGGAGTGATATATAGGATTGGAGCTCAGAGCCAATGCCGACAGATTATCGCAATACAGAATAGGAGGTTCAGACAAATATACATGGAGATCAACAAGAAGCTGCCGGATCCAGACAACATCTGCTGAGGCATTAGCAAGAGCCTTATACTCGGCTTCAGTGGAACTTCGTGAAACAGAACCTTGCTTCTTCGATTGCCATGAGACCGGGTTAGACCCCAAGTACACCACAAAGCCCGTAGTGGATCTGCGAGTGTTAATATCACCCGCCCAGTCAGAATCACTATAAGCAGACAGGAGGAAGGGACCTGAAGCAGAATAAGTAAAACCATGACTGAGTGTGCCCTGTAGATAACGCAGAATGCGTTTCACTAAGAAGAAATGATGCTCGGTAGGATTAGTCATGTATTGACAGACAGTATTAACTGAATGGGCAATGTCAGGCCTTGTAAAGGTAAGATATTGTAATGCACCCACAATGCTACGATACTGTTTTGGATCCTTCAAAGGAATACCATCAGTGAGTAAGA